GTGCTCCCCGATCCCGTGCGCGACTGCTCGGCGGCAGCGCCCTGGGAGCACGCCGCGACACTGGGGCGGGGGGGCCAAGATTCGAGTAGCGGATCGACTACAGACTTGGTTTGCCCCGAACTTGTTTTCTTCGTTGAGCCATGAAGTACAAACCGCGTTGATCATGTGGAGTCGACGAGGAAATTGATACTGGGGTGGGTCTGTTCTGCAGTCGATCCCCTGTTCGACAGACGGCAGAGGGGGTGCGCGCGCCTGGCAGTCCCAGAGGCGTCGGACGAGAAGCGGGGGGGGCTGGGGAAAGGGCGGAGTACGGGATCTGCCCCGCCAGCGGGCGTTTCTTCTTGGATCCAGGGGTGCCGATAGGCGCCGGGAGAGCCAGCTACGCGAGCTGATGCGCTAGCCTACCGCATGCTACCCAGCCCCCTTGCGTCCGACCTGATACATGCCTCCGAAATGGGGCCAGAGTAGACGAGGTCGGAGGATCGCGTCGCATCGCCTTTCTATCGTCGACGCTGCGCGACCATAGTTCGATTAAATCCATCCCACCGTCGCCGATGCATCGCCGATGGCGCTAATTCTCGACCACGTCTGCTCCGGCCCCATCTGGGAGTCATCACGCAGTGTCGTCAGCTTCGCCCCTGCATCGGCCCATGTGTGACCGAGAGGCCCCGCATTCGCAAGAGCGCCGCCCTTGTTGGCTTCGAAGACCCCCCCTGGATGTCTCTGACAGGGCGAATCACCGCGTGATGAGGTGGGACACTGGCGCGCGGGAGGGCGTCGTCGTTGCCGGCGGCCGCGGCTTCGGCGGCCGTTCGGACCAGCTGGCATGCCCAGCGGCGGTAGTGGTCACGGAGGACGGCACGGTGCTGGTGGCCGACGAGGCGAACGACCGCGTCCAGGCGTGGCCCAGCGGCGCCACCGAGGGCGTCACGGTCGCGGGCGGCACGGCACCTGGCGGCGGGGCCGGGGAATTGTACCATCTTCGGGGGGGCCTCCCGCGGTGGCGGGTTGGCGCGAGGGGCAACGCGAAACTTCGCGTCTCAACGCGGGCCTTTGCCAGGGGGATCTCGGTGTCCGTCCCAGGCGGTGAGGCCTGATTTCCAGCACACGAGAGAGAGAGAGAGGTAGGCACAATAATGAAAGAAGTGTGGTTATCAGAGTGAGGGGGCCGAACGGTCATTCATTGTCTCTGGGTGCGTGGCTGAATATATGGAATTCGTGGTGAGAATTCTGCTTGTTGCGTTGTTATTGTTCTTGCTGTTGTTGTTGTAAGTGTTGTTGTTGCTGTTGTTGTTGATGATGTTGTTGCGGATGTTGTTGTTGCTGTTGAATATTATTACTTCTAAAGAATAATTATTGTTGGGCCCCCTGGTGCACGCCCCCCTCGCCGCGCCTAGGCCGCAGCTACATTTTCATCATTTTCGTGAGGAAGCCTCAGGTAAAACGATGTGATCCAGATCCGGCTGTTTTGTTGTAATCCGTTTTCCCTTGCAAAAAACACTATAAAATGACATTTCTTGTTCTAATATAATCAAATTTCAAGAATCCCTTGCAAAAAATAAGGTAAAGTGGACATTCGCGCGCGCAAGACGAAATCCTTCCAAAAGCTTAGTGTTCGGAGCGATTTTAACATAAAAACATCAAAAAACCAATGGTTTTTCAACAAAAAAATGTCAAAATCTCATCCCGCGCGCTCTTGCGGATTCGTAGGAAACCCAACACTTTTTAAACATTTCTGTCAAACGGGCTTTTGCGAGCAACTTTTTCGAACTTCTGCGACAACGGTTGCGCACCTGCCAGGGCCATCATCCCTGTCAAATAATACCATGCGGGACACATTCGTTTTTTCTTCGCGCGCGCACGCCGTCGTCGTCGGCCGCGGGGCCCTGAATAGTAGCCACGGTCGTCCGCATGCCACGAAGTGAAGTGTCCGAACGTCATAGGGCGGGAAGCTGGGTGTGGGTGGTGGCGAAGAGTCGTTTGGAAATTTGGTAGAGCTTGAACCGGCCCCCCCACAAAGTGGGGGTATTGCCCGCCTCCTATGAAAACCCTGGCACTGGTGAGAACGGAGTGTCCCCAGTCTTAAATGATTGTTGCTGTTGTTGTTGTTGTTGTTGTTGTTGTTGCTCTTGTTGTTGCTGTTGCTGTTGTTGCTGCTGTTGCTGTTGTTGAACATTCAATTAAACAAATAATTATTGCTGATCTCCGGAAGCGATTCCGCGCGCTCTCGCCTCGACGCCGCATTTTCTCTGAATAAGAGGCTCCCGCTCGAGCGTCGGCTTGAGCCTAAATGTGGGCCCTTGGAGGCCCAGCTACGACAACAACGGTTCCCGCTCGACATTTCCTCACAATTTACCCTGAGACACCCTGACCAGAGAGGCCCCCGAACTCAGGAACGGCGCTCCCGCTCGAGACTTCCTCGCAAGTCAATCAAGTTGGCGGAGGCCCAGCCACGACGACAAGGGCTCCTGCTCGATACTTCCTCACGATTTATTCCGAGAGCCCCTGGCCAAGAAGGCCCCCGAACTCAGGAACGGCGCTCACGCCCGAGACTGTCTCGTAGTTCAGGCAAGTTGGTGGAGGCCTGGACACGGCGACAAGGGCTCCCGTTCGATGGTTCTCCAGAGGCGGTCCGAGGGCTCCTGACCAGAGAGGCCCCGAAACTTAGGAACGGCGCTCTCGCTCGACATTTCCTCGCATTTCAATCAGTAGCCAACAAGGAAGAAATTCCCCCCGAAAGGGGGTGCAATCGAGTACGAAGTGGGCGGGTATCGAGGGTTGGGGTATACGGAATGCTAGACATGCGTGACAGTAGGAGCGCACCATATCAAAATGATTGGTGTTGTTGGTGATATTGTTGTTGCTGCTGCTGTTGTTGTTGCTGTTGTTGTTGCTGTTGTTGTGATTGTCGTTGTTATGGTTGGTGTTGTTGGTGGTGTTGTTGGTGTTGTTGTGTTTGTTGTTTGTTGCTAGTTGTCTGTTGTCGACGTCCCACCCTCGACTCACCCGCGCCCCACCCCGCGACTCACCCCGCGACCCACCCCGCGACCCACCCCGCGACCCACCCCGCGACCCACCCCGCGACCCACCCCGCGACCCACCCGCGACCCAACCCGCGACCCATCCGCGACCCACCCCGCGACCCACCCGCGACCCACCCGCGACCCAGCCTCGACCCACGCGACCCATCCGCGACCCACCCATCCGCGACCCATCCCCGACCCATCCGCGACCACACCGCGACCCACCCGCGACCCACCCCGCGACCCACCCTCAAGGGAGGAGGAACCACCCGGACCCGACAATTCACGTTTACCAAACGGCTTTGGGCGTTTACTAAATATCCTTGCTTTGTTCGAGTCATGACTTGCGTGCGTTCACTGAACGGCTTCGCTTATTGGAGTGATTATCATGGGGTGGATTTTCTGCCCTCTACACCCGCGATCCATTTGCGACCCACCCGCGACCTACCCACATTAGTTCAACGAAAAAATCGGCGCCTGCGGTGGGCTCGTTGTATAATTTGTGAAACTTTGGCGCCTGCGGTGGGCTTCTCCAGAGTCTCGCAAATTGCCGACGTCCCCACCGCCCCCTCACTCTTATCCGCATCTGCGGGGTGCTACGATATTATTCACTGATCTCTTGGAGGCCTTCGGGGCCTCTGGGAGGCCTCTTGGGGGCCTCGAGGCTGTCTCGGGGCGAATATTGGTGTGGAGAGCTCCAACTGTCAGTTTGTGTCGCTTGGGCCTCTCTTGGAGGCCTGGTGAGCCTCATTGGGGCGATTTTGGGAGCCTCTTGGGCCGCCTTGGACGGTGTGAAGATCGAAAAAATTGAAAACGGTGGGAAGATGCAAAACCCAAGGCTTGGTAACGATTTGGGCCGTTGGGGCTGGCCCCCGAGGTCTCTAAGATTGCCCAAGAGGCCGCCAGGATGCCCCAGGACGGAGATGGTGAGGCCGTTTTAGAATCAGGTTCGAGGTCGAGGCCTCCCCGTCACACTCGAGTCCGCCAGAAAAGTCACGCGGGGATTCCCCAGAGCGCCCGGGAGCGCCCCTTGAATTTCGGGCCCTGGGCCATTGAAGAGCACTCACAGACCTCAACGCAGAGAGAGAATGAGAGAGAGAGAGAGAGAAAGTGGAGGGGACAGACAGCGAGACGAGACGGGAGCAGACCTCCAAGCGGCGGCCGACCTCTTCCATCGGACCTTTCGATGGCCCCCCCGCCCCGGCGCTCCCCCCTGGCCCGTTCTCCTTCGAATGCCACTCCTGGGAGGTCAAACTCAGATTTGGCCCCGGTACGAAATCCGGCTCCATCCGGCTTACACGCCGTTCGTTGAAAGTAGGATTTTTGGATTCCCAGATCCCAATCTTTTTCAAGCTCCTTCCTACTTCAAGAATCGGCACGCGTTTGCTGTGTTTTGCTATTCTCGCTCTGGGGGGGCCTGGACCCAATCAACTACATCCGCCTTCCTACTTCATGTTTCTACCTACTTCTTCTGGCCGGCGTGCAATCCGGCTTCTAAATCCCGCTACATCCGGCTTCATCCCGCAGAATCCCAGGCCCGGTCCGGCGCGACAGCCTCCCCTCTGGGGCCTCGTCCTCCCTCTATACACTCCTTCCGACGAGCAGACCTCCCAGCAGTTGCCTCCCGCCTCTCCCGGCCCGCCGCCCGCCCGGAGCCCCCCCGACGTCCCCTGGGGCTCTGCCTGGGGGGCGCCGGCGGCCCGACGCCGGAGCTCTTCGTGGCAGACTCGCTGAACTACCGCGTGCAGCGGGCGCCGCTGCCGGCGGCGTGCCGTGACCAGGCGCAGCCCCCGGCCCTCGGGTACGCGGGCACGACGGTGCCTCGGGGTGCAGCACCCGAGAGGCTCCGCTCGGCATGGGGCCATCGAGAGCAGAATGAACCCTAGCCTTCGTAATCGAAGAAGAGCGAGCGCCATAAGCATAAGTTGTTATGGTTCTGCCTTGTCTTCTTCTTGTGCATAGCACGAAGAAGTAGCCGAGCGCATGTCCGCGTCTTTGCATCTGCGTGGCCTGGTTTGATACATCAGCTGAAATGGCCCCCTATCCCTAATGTGTTGGGCCTCTTAACGTAGGCACGCTCCCAGAAGGCTAGGGGTCCTCGACTTACAATAATCGGGTATCTTCTTGGGGCTCCTCACGGAGGTCCGCCAGCCCCCTCGGGCTGACCCGGGTTGGGAGTCACGTGGGGCCGATCCTTTCGGGTTCGGCAAAGAGGGGGGCGATGACTAGGGGGGTAGATATTATGGCGCCTCTTCTTATGACAAAACGTCCCTGGCCCCCTGTGCCGCGCACGTGCGGCCGGCCATGATTTGCACCCCGCCCTCTCGGACGCCCCCCTCTTGGCCGCCCCCGATTCTCTGAGCTGCTAGGTGGCCGGCCGGGCTCTGCGACAGGGCCCCCGGTCGACCTGGGTTTGGGCTCTGACACGGACGAGTGCATAATTAGCTCATCCCCGATATCCGTGGTCGAACTATCTGAATTCGGCACAATCTTGTTGAATCACGTTTGATCCGCCTTAATCTTGTGCCGTGTCTAGGCAAACTCAGCTCAACGGCCCCGCAATCGCTTAATAGCGTTGAATCAGTCCTACAACTTTGTGCAAAAAGTTATCGGCCACGCGCAGAGGGGGTCAGGGGAAGGGGCAAGGCATCTTAGAAGCACCCCTCCTGCTTCTTAGCAGGCGCGGGCCAAGCAGGCGCCTTTCGAAAAAGATCTTTCTAAGATCGACTGCAATGAAGAGTGACCTTTCGCTGGAGGGACCTGTGGTGCGGGCCCAATGGCGTCCCCCGATCGCCGAACGCGATGCGGTAGCAGCGTCTTGCACGCTCGTGCTTGTTCCCCCCGCGGCCCCCGAAAAACCGCGCACAAAAGGTCACTCTTACCCAGGGTCACTTTTGCGTGCAGTCGATAAGAAGTCTTCCCCGTCCCCCTTCCCCCTGGTCGGCGGCAAGCGAGGGGGGGGAAGCGAGAAGGAGAAGGCCTTCTTAGAAGGCTCAGAAGTCCCCGGGCCTTCTGAGAATTTGCCTGAGCCTTACCCGAAGACACGGAACACCTCTCAGAAGGCGCCAGGGGTTCTGAGAGGTCCTGTTGCTTTCTGAGAAGGCCTTCTCTAGCTCACTTCCCTGGTTGACCCAAACGGGGGTCCAGCGACAAGGGGGTGGTGGAGTAGATTTGGTGCAATCGAGATTTGGGGTTGCAGTAGACTTGGGGCGTGCAATACGTTCTGGTGCGCAGATGTACTGCTGGGTTTTCGCGTGCAGTACGTGGGTTGCTACACCATGCGATACAGTTCCCCGGCGCCATACATCTGCAGCACACATGCCCCCCAACCTCTTGCACCACCCCCTTTCAGCTGGACCCCCTTTTGGGGTCGACCAAAACCTGCCCCCCTCGCGCGCCGCCGACCCGGCGCGCCGCCGCCCGAGAAGTGCTGCTCCCTGAGGTTGAAGGGGCCCTGGGACACACAAATACATACACACAAATAAACATATTCCCCATATTTTTGTCCCATATTTCCAGGGTTTTTGTCTTCCCCCACTTCCCATATTTTCCCATATTTTCTGGGGAATCGACGAGTAACTGTGTCTGTGTGTTTTTTTCCCTCCTGAGAGGTGGCGGGCGGCCTGGGCCTGGGGCCGGGGCCCGAGCAGCTGGGGCAGCCCGTCTCGGTGTGCCTCGACGACCGGGGCGTGCTGTACGTGGCAGACGCGGACAACGGCCGCGTGCAGGCGTCGGGGGGCAACGGCCAGGGGCGGACTTCAACTTCGGCACGATCGACATTCGGGGGAACGTGAGACTCGAGTAGGCCAGAACTCGGGTCTGCCGACGTCTTTTTGGCGAGCGCGTCATGGAGTGTGACGGTCCGGCGCTCGTGGGATTTCTGCAGCGGGAGATCGCGCCAAGTTTCAGACTGGGTCTCGTCATTCTCAGTGATGGCCCCGTCAGAAGGAGAGGTTGGCCCTGAGGAGAGGGTCGGGGATTCGTGGGGACTACGTGTTGGAAAAATCGATACGTCGGATCTCTGTGGGAAAAAACACACACAAACGAACATAAGAAACAAACACAAAAACACACACACACACTGTGGGGGGGAAAACGCACAGTCTGTCGGAAAACACACACACACATTGTGTGCTGTTTTGTGTGTGTGCGTGTGTGTGTGTGTGTTTGTGTGTTTGTGTGTGTGTGTGTTTGTCTGTTTCTGTGTTTCTGTGTTTCTGTGTTTCTGTGTTTCTGTGTTTCTGTGTTTCTGTGTTTCTGTGTTTCTGTGTTTCTGTGTGTCTGTGTTTCTGTGTTTCTGTGTTTCTGTGCTTGTGTGTTTGTGTGTTTGTGAGTTTGTGAGTTTGTGTGTTTCTGTGTTTCTGTGTTTCTGTGTTTCTGTGTTTCTGTGTTTCTGTGTTTCTGTGTTTCTGTGTTTCTGTGTTTCTGTGTTTCTGTGTTTCTGTGTTTGTGTGTTTGTGTGTGTGCGTGTGTGTGTGCGTGCGTGCGTGCGTGCGTGCGTGCGTGCGTGCGTGCGTGCGTGCGTGCGCGCGCGCGGGTGTGTGTGTGTTTACCACAGACGTGTGTGTTTTTCCCCACAGGCTCACGGTGGGGAAACATCGACCGCCAATCGCCCATTCCTCGCCGATCGGTGCCTGGGTGCCCCAACCTGTCCCAGATCCCTGGGGCTGGCTATCGAGGGCCTCTCGTTGATCTGTCGGTGAGGCACCGCCGAGTTCCAAGTCGATGTACACCCCCCTTCACCAGAGAAGAAAGAGCCCCCACCACCACTAGCCAGGGGCCTGGTACGGAGTGCCACCAGCACGGAGTTTGGCGGTGGTGGTTCCTTCTTCGAACAGTGGATCGACCACACAACTGGTCTCCCCCAAACTTGTTCCGTCGAGCCCACGAGAAACATCTCGGGCGAAGAGAACTATACACATGCACCGCTCCTGGCAAGGCCCATCCTTGAACCAGGATCGGTGCATGTGCCTTCCTGGCCAAGGTGGAGGGCGTGTGCACCGATCCTGGGCTCAGGATGGGCCTGGCCAGAATCGGTGTGTGTGTGTGTGCACAGCTCTCTCTCCTCTAAAATCAGCCGCGTCTTTCTCGTAGACTCTTCGAGGGAACCGAGCCCGGGGCAAGTCGGTTCTGCAGCCGATGCCTTGCTCGGCCTCTGCTCTCACGCCTCCGAGAGGCCAGCGCCCGCCCAGCAGGCCAGCCACAGCTGGGGGAGCCGTGGCCCTGACATCCCTGGGGGACCCATCGATTTCGACGCCCCTCTCGAGAGATCGTCGATGCGATGGTTAAGTCGGGCCTGTCCCTCTACAGGGGGAACATTCAAAAATAGTCAAAGAATAGTTTGGGGAGTATTTGTTCACCATGTTTGAGCAGTTTTAGTGTATTTTTGGTGTGTTTTTAAGTTTTCGTCCAAAATCGGCCTGTAGGGGGACAGGCCCGACTTAATGCGATGGGTTCCCCCTGGGGGGTAAGGACCACAGCTCCCCCAGTTATGGCTGGTCGGGCCCAGCGCTGTCCCTCCAGGTGGTGCCCCCCGCGGCGCAGCGGGCCGCGTCCGAGCGGCGCCCGCCCGCCTCCACGCTGGACGACGCGCAGCGGACGCTCACGGCGGGGGTCGTCACCGAGTTCCGCGAGGGGCCCGGGTTCGGCTTCATCAAGGTCTCGGGAGCCTCGATCAGAGGAGGAAAAGGTGCCCAATACCCCTACCCTTCGCCCGTGTTTCCCTTTTCTGGGCCTCCTGGGAGGCCCGTCGCCACCGCTGGATTCGCCTCGAAATTCTGGCCAGAACGCACCCCGGGAGAGGTCCGGGGAGTGAGGGTACTGGCACTTTTCGAGTTCCCCACTTGAGACGGGGGTCCATCACCACCCACCAAACCACCCCAACCCAACCCGAAGGCTCAAATTTACCGTCGATTTCCAGTGGGGGGGGTGTCGGGGAACATCGAAAAAACACGCGTGGAACCCTTACCCCCCCAACCCGAAATTCGGGTCTTCGGGTTGGGTTGGGGTGGTCTGGTAGGTAGTCAGTCCACGCGAACAGGGGGTCAGCCAGAGCTCCGGATCTCGGAGGATCCTGCGGAGCCAGGGGCGCACTGACCCGGGCCAGCGCGCAGGAGCCTGCAGGATCTTGCAGGATCATGCAGGGCGCGGGCCTCATCTATGGATGCAGGGCTGGCACCTTCTAGGGAGCGGCCTCCTCACAAGCCTTCCCCCCTCCCTCCACCCCCTTGTGCGCGCCGCCGTAGGCTGCTGGCAAGCGGTATCCGGCCGCCTGCGGCGAGCACCGCCAGCGCAGCAGGAGGGAGGTTGAGCTTAATCGAGCGTCGCGTAGCGGGGGGCGATGAGTGGGGGGTGATGAAGGGTGCGCTTCTTGTGCACGTTTCTTCAGCCCTCCACTTATCTTATCGTCCCCACATAAAGCAACGCCCAACTTGAGACGAGTTGAGACGAGTCCAGCGCCCTGTCTGCTTTTCGATGTAACGCAAACGTGGTGGATCAGCGAAGTGGCCCGCTTCCATACAGATCAACGCGCTCCGTCGCCAAATCAGGCGGTGCTGAACTCATGTATCGGGAGGTGCCTTCCCTGATGCGTGGATCTGGCGTCCACGCGCCAGATCCACGGAGCCATAATCCATGTTGGCGCACGCCCGAGAAATAGTGCGGTTCTCAAACAGACCTTTGCCTGCAGCCTTGTCATTCCCCTCTTCCATCATTTTGATGGAGGCGTCTTCGGGGCCTCTCGGGGCTCCCATGGGGACCCTGTTTGAGGGCACTTTCGGGGACCTCTTAGAGGGCCTTGGGAGCTTGTCGGTGGTCTCGCGCGATGATTATATCGAGCTTTCCCGACTTGGTGTCACCTATTGTTTTCCCGAGATGATCTCAAGCCGAAAGGCCTCGGAAGCAAAAGCATGTGACTGACTTCCCTCCAGCCGTTTCAATGGTGTGTTGCCGCCTCATAATTCGCAGGAGGTCTCTTTGGGCGTTTCATGGAGACTAATTATGGGGTTGTCTTGAACCCGTTGAGAGCCCATGGGATCATCTCTTGATGAACTCGGTGAGTCTTGCAGTAGGTCCTTGCCGGAGGGGCGTCTCCTGGAGGCCAATCGTGGCCTTTTGGGGCACATTGTCGGCGTCGCCCCAACATACTAATACTCTGCGCGCGTCGCCTCACAGTTGCGACGCGCGCATCGAAGCATACGCTTCGTGGCGGGCGCTTTCTGGCCACACCTCTCAGGAGACGATCTAGTAGTTACAAGATGTGTATACTCTACGTTCGGCCCATATTGGGGACATCTTGGAGCCGGTGGGGGCTCGTTGCGCCATCTTGTGCTGGACTGGCGGCGCATTGCAGCTGTCTCGGGGCGGTCGTGGGCCGTCTCAGACTCGCGCAGACGCCGAATCGGGCGCCTCGGAGCAAATCCAAGGGAGGCGATTTGTATGCCGGGGTCTTCGCAAAGCAGGGACTCTTGGGCGCGAGTTAAAGGGGGGGCGATACCTGGGGGGGCAGCGAGGGCTGCAGAAAAGAGGCCCTCTAGGACCCTGAAGGGCCCGATCTTGCCCCCCAGCTAGCGCCCCCCATTACGTCGCGCCCAAGGCATGGGAAAATTACCGGAACCCTGCCAGAAGGTTGACCAGCATTAACGCCATCTTTTGTCGCGGAAGCGCGCTGGTGGATTTCGCGCACCACTCCGATATCCGGTTGGAGGTGCGGCGAGGTTACCCGGCGCTGCGAAAGGGAGACCTCGTAGAGTTCTTCCCAAGGCCTGACGAGAAGTGGGGTCAGCGAGCTGCCATGGTTCGGACATTCTCACCAGCGTAGTTCGACCTCCAACTCGACCTCAACCTCCACCCAGACCTCAGATGACGGGAAGCGTCTTCGAGGACGGAGAAGCGAGTGGTTGAGTCTGCAACAGATCTAATATTAGTCAGTGTGAACCCCAAGCAGTGTGTTTTCGGCAATATCTGTGGTGCAATCTATGTGGAGCAATATGTGTGTTTGTGTGTGTGGTGCAATCGATGTGGAGCAACATATCTTGCTGTGCGATATATGTTGTACAATCGGTGTTGTGCAGTCTACTTGGCGCAATATAATCGAAGCCTCGGAATGCAAAGCGGTTCGAGGTAAGACACCGCAAGACAGAGCAATACAAGGCAACGCAAAGCAGCACAAAGCAATGCCATGCAAAGCACCGCAAAACGAGGCCGAGCACTCGCCGCAGCGCAAAGCAATGCAACACAAAGCAATTCGACGACGAGGCGGCGGTGGGGCCGCCGACGGCGAGCACGGAGCCGCCACACCGGCACGCAGGCCCAGACGACGGGCGGCGACGAGGCTGCGACTTGGCGGCGTCGTGGCGGCGACGGCGAGCACGGGGCTGCCAGACCAGCCCGCAGGCCCAGCTCTTTCGGAAAAGAGTCGACTAGACGTAAGAGTGACCTTTCGCCGGAGTGACCTTTGGTGCGGGCCAAATGTGGTCCCCCGATCGCCGAACGCGAGGCGGCAGTGGCGCCTTGCGCGCTTGCGTTTGGCCCCCTCGCGGCCCCCCAAAAGCCGCGCACCAAAGGTCATTCTTACCCAGGGTCACTCTTGCGTGTAGCCGAAAGAGGCAAGAACCCCTAAGCGCAAGCACGGTTTGGGAAGAATCTGAGAGTGCATACCGTTCGGGGGTGAATTTGATGATTCGTCGGCAGATGGTTGACGGGAAGCGCGCTTAGACTCGAAGATTCGCGCGATGGACGTCGGCATTTAGCCCGGAGGAAAATACTTGTACCGGTTGCTGCAAGATCCTCAGATTCCGACCTACGTTGAGCGTCTCCCTTTTCCAACAATCGAAGGGTTGTTGTTATATAATATCTCGTCCGTTTTCGGCGACGGGTGGAAGCCCAACGTATTTGAACCGCCTTCCTATTTGATGTTTCCGCCTATGTCTTTCTGAGCGGCATGCAGTTTGGAGCCCGCTGGTGTGGCTTGCCAAGACAGTCAGATGCCATGACAAATGTCATGCCGACCCGAGTGAGAAATCAGCTCTCGTTGGCAGGGCATGGAGCGCCGTCGCCGAGGGGATGATTCGGTCCAGAGCTGCGCGGGGAGGCCCATGAAGTCGGGCATGTCCCTCTACAGGAGGAGTATTCAAAAATAGTTTAGAAAGTAGTCTGGGGACGACATTCCAATGCTTGACTTGCTCTTGATTTTGGGGCTATCCTTCATGTCTTCATCCCAGATCCGCCCTGCAGGAGGGCATGCCCGGCCTAAGACAAGCACCACAGAGCTAGTCCACGGTGGCCACGTGGCCGGCTCAGCAGGGGCGGGGGGGTCGCTCGAGCGCCCGACGCCTGCTCGTTTGGACCTCTGTGGCCGCCGCCCGCGTGGCCGTTGACCGCTTTGGTGACTCCGGCGAAGGGCAGGAGCGGAACTGCTCCTCAATGGAGCCCATCACGTTGCCCAAGCAGTGGCGAAGCGTCTTGGCTCGCCTATAGCCCCACCAAAGAATGTTCTAAGACCCTTTCGTGGTTTGCACGAAATGTTCTTAGAACATGTCTGGTTGAGACTGTCTTGGTTTAACACATCGGGTTAACCTCATGCCCGTGAGAATAAACACTAGGGGATAATAAAGTTCGGGGTTCAGGGAGAGATAATAAAAGTAGCCCAGCAGACCTCAGCATAATCTCGAAGTAAGAGATGATCAAGAGGAGACCAAGCCGAGCACGTTTTGAGACATCCTTGGCGTTTAGTTTTCATAGAAATATCCTCAACACTGGCTTTTCTCGCTGGAGACATCCTCGACAAATCCCTTGTTTCGCTTGAGTAGAAGGATAATAAGAGAGAAGAAGAAGAGGAGAAGAAGAGGACCAAGAAAGGAAAAATCCAAAGTTCCAAATCTATCAATTTTCATGTACAAGCGCTTTATGATTTTTTTCTTTTTTAAGTGCTCGTGTAGGGTAGCTCATGTGCCTCAATTTCCATGGATAATCAACCCCAGGGATAATCAAGTTCAGGCGAGCGTGGGGACATATAGAAATATAAAAGAAGAAGAGAAGAGTAGAAGAATATTAAGAAGAGAAGAAGAAGAGGAGGAGAAGAAGAAGAAGAAGAGAAGAAGAAAGGAAAACATCAAACTTCCAAATCTATCAATTTTAATTTACAAGCGCTTTATGGAAAACGATTTTTTAAAGTGCTCATGTAGGGTAGCTCATGTGCTTCAGTTTCCATGGATAATCAACCCCAGGGATAAAAAAAATCAGGCGCGCGCGGGGATACATACAAATATAAAATACGGATAATAAAAAATGATAAAATAAAAAACTTGTTGGTTGAGCTTGAAACATCCTTGAGACATCCTTGGAACATTGCTCGTTTCGTTTGAGTCTGCCTCCCAAAATTATCGGTTTCGCTTGACACATCCTGAAAAAGTGTGATCGCTTCGCTTGATGTTGCTATATCAACATCGTTTGATGTTGCTATCTCAACATAGCGTTTCGAGGTGATAATGAAGTTCGGCCTCAGCGCTCGCCGCCCAATTTGAATTTTGTATAGGGCGACGATAATCAACTCTAAATGCTGAAGGGGGGGTCCCTTTATTATCATCGGCATGCGGTTAATGTTATAAGAACATTATTGTTGCTCCTGGAACATTTTCGGGTTCGAAGATCATTTCGTGGTAGGACTATAGGAATGCCGGGACGGTCGGTCCTTGCTCAAGTTGTCCTGGGTCAGGCCTCCCGCGCCCAAGCTGGAAGGGAGGTTTTAGCGCATGCAGGGGCCGCCTCAATCCTCAAGGCGGTGCAGCGAAGTGAGGCTCGGAGGGTGCTCTACATACTTTGGGCGGGTCCGCAAGCGAAGGCGGGTGGCAGAGGTGGGATACCTTTTGAGTCTGTGGTGGGCGGCAGGTATGGAGGTTGGCCTGGACGTCGCGACGGATGACCATGTATACTCTATCCAGCGCTTGAGCCGCCAACTCCATCTTAGCGAAAGGATTTGGCCGTCAACTCTGTCTCAGTGAAAGAATTTGGCCGTCAACTCTCCCAGTTGACGAACCCCATTGACGGCCTCTTTCCAAATTGACGAACCCTCTTTCTGGGTTGGCGAACGCCCTTGACGGCCTTCCTCCAAATTGACGAGCCCTGTTGACGGCCTCCCTCTGGGGCGACGAACCCCCGTGACGGCTCCCCCCCCCGAGTTGGCGAACCTTCTTGATGGCCCCCCTCGCCGCACCCTCCGTCTTGACGAGCAAAGCGTCGGGGCCGACCTGATGGTGAAAGACGGCTTCGGTCTCGACAGACAAAGTGTCGGGGCCGAGTTGACGGCTCCTCTCGTCTTGACGCACGCAGTGTTGGAGCTGAATTGACGATTGCCTTCGCCTGTGCGAAAGCAGCCTTGAGGCCGAATTGACGTCTGAAGTGTCAGGGCCGAGTTGACGACCGTTGTGGGGCGTTCCTCCAGACATGCGCCGTCTCGGCCTCTGGAGATGCAGTGTAACCCAAACACCTGCGCACCGTTCTTTGCCGCCAGACAGAGTCTCGAAGCGATTGATTGGCACCACACGTGGGTAGGTTCCCGCAGAAACCCGAATGAGCACGCCAGGCCCAGGCGATGCAGAAATAGGGGGGCCCGCAGTCGTTCTTCGCCTGGCCGCTGAACAGGCCCGCAGGGCCGACGCGCGGTGCAGCCCACGCCGTGCTCGTTCCTGGGCCTGGCCGCAGAGTGGCCGCATCCCTCCTCTCGTCTTCCCCAGTCCGTCCTCCCTCCTCTCCTGCCTCCCCCTTCCTCCCCCCTCCTCCCCCCTCCTCCTCCCTCCTCCCCCTCCTCCTCCTCCTCCTCCTCCTCTCCTCCTCCTCCTCCTCCTCCTCCTCCTCCTCCTCCTCCTCCTCCTCCTCCTCCTCCTCCCCCTCCCCCTCCCCCTCCGCCTCCGCCTCCTCCTCCTGGTCCTCCTCCTCCTCCTCCTCCTCCTCTCCTGCCTCCCCCCTCCTCCCCCGCCCTCCCACCCATTCCCATCCTCTCCTGCCGAGTCCGCGCAGCGTTGGCCGAGAGAGCCGCGGGACAGGTCCAGGTCGTGTGTGGCACTCGTCGCGCGTGGCTCCCGAGGGCCCTTCCCTCTCGCCTCCGGAGAGCGGCCCTGTGCCACGGCTCAGCGGCGTCGCCGACGCCTTGGCTGGGGAGCCGCCCAGTTCTCGCGTGGCCCCACGCCTTGGGATTGTGAGATTGCACCGCCGCGCTTGTCTTAAGTCGGGCCTGTCCTTCTGCAGGAGGAATTCAAAATTTGTCAAAAAATATGCTGGGGGCGTTTTTTCGCATCTTTTGCCAATGTTGGCACATGTTTCGAATATTTCCCATTTTTCGCCCAAGATCCGCCTGCAGGGGGACATGCCCAACCTGACGCTTGTCAGGCGTAGGGCGGCCAGAGCCATGGTGGACTCCATCGGTGTGTCGCCCTAGTCCGCCGAGCGGCTTCCTGCGGCCCGCCGCGTCCCCAAGGGCCTCCACGAGGCTTTGCGCAGGAGCGAGCACTGTTTGGCTCGGGCTATAGAAGCGCAAGCGGCTGTGCGTTCTTTATCACGCAGCGCCACAGTAGCACGCTGTGTCAGTCAGGTGGCGGAGTTCGGTACCACGCTGGGTCAAGCGGAGCCCCAGGGCCTTTCGTGCCTGGGGGGGGGGTGCGGGCCAGTGGGTCGGTGACGATGGGGGGGATTCCCAAGTGTGGGCTGCATGTCGCATGGTGTGCGGCAAAACTGCCACGGAGGACCCTCGCCATTCAGCGGTCGAATGCGACATCCGCACCAAGAGAAGCCTTGAAACTTCAAGCGTCAAAGACTTTGAAAGGGTTTTGTTTCCCTCGGCCGCCAGGGACCGTCGGAGGCGTCCCCGGCCCGTCGTGGACAGGGCACCGTCCGGCGCGAGAGGCGGTCCTCCGTGGCCCGCCGCCCGGGGTGTCGGATCGCGGAGTTCGCTCCCAGTTCCTGTGGGCACCAGCGAAAATTCCAGCGAAATCACCCCCCCTCCCCCCCTCGCCCTCCGCTCCTCCTCCTCCTCCTCCTCCTCCTCCTCCTCCTCCTCCTCCTCCTCCTCCTCCTCCTCCTCCTCCTCCTCCTCCTCCTCCTCCCCCTCCCCCTCCCCCTCCTCGTCCCCTCATCCTCCTCCTCCTCCTCCTCTTCCCCATCCTCCATCCTCCTCCTCCTCCTCCTCCTCCTCCTCCTCCTCCTCCTCCTCTCCTCCTCCTCCTCCGCCTCCTCCTCCTCCTCCTCCTCCTCCTCCTCCTCCTCCTCCTCTCCTCCTCCTCCTCCCCCCCTCCTCCTCCTCCGCCTCCTCTTCCTCCTCCTCCTCCTCCTCCTCCTCCTCCTCCTCCCCTCCTCCTCCTCCTCCTCCTCCCTCCTCTGAGAGCGGACGCCCTGACCTTGTCCGACACCGCCCGCGCCAGCAACCAAGTCAGCGACGGCTTCCTCCTCCCTCCTCTCCCCCCTTTCGGCCCTCCTCCCTCTGCTCCTTCCCCTCCCTCCGTCCCCTCTTCCTCGCCGCCCTCTCCTCACCCCTTCCGCCGCTCGCCCCATCCGCAGCTGCTGCCGCTCATCCCTCGCGCCCTGCCCCCGCGACCAGTCCCACAGAGGAGGGCCAGTCGAGACAACGGCGGTCGGCGGCGTCCAGAAGGAGGTGGCGCGAGAGGGGCGGTCTTCTTAAAATCGAAATTGAAAAAAAACGCCATGAACAATAATTTAATTGGTGACGCTTCGCGCGGGTTTCTCGAATCCGAGCTGGGACCCCCCCGGCGGCGCCTCCGGTGCCGCCCCTGGCGCGCGCGCGCTAGGGAGGAGGGTCCTGCGCAGATCCAAGAAACCCGCGCAGAACGCCAAAAGTTTATGTTCGTGGCGTTTGGTCTTCTTCCGAGGGGGGCGGCTTACCTAAAGGCGGAGGGGCTTCTCAGAAGGCACGGGCCTTATTATAGGACTTACAGTCAAACCGCATAGTAAGGATGGGCAACCTTCCCAAGGGTACCCTCGCAGCCTTGCCTCCTCGGTCCATCCTTCGCCGCCTTCGCTGGCCGCGCACCGCTCGAACAGCTTCGAAGTGGGCGTCCAAGGCCCTTGCATCCTTATCCCGCATCCTTACTATACGGGTTGACTGGTTGACTACAGGACTTAGCAGGCCCCGGAGGCCTCCAGGAAGGCCCCCTGGAAGCCCGGCGTGCCTCTGAGAAGCTCCTCCCTGCCTTCTTGGCAGTCCCTCCGCATCCCTCGAGCGCCGCGGCCCCCCTCGCGCCGCCCCTCTCTCAGGGGGGGGGGGGGGAACACAGACACAGTTCAATCGTCGACCCCCTTCAGGAAGATATGGGAAAATATGGGAAGTGGGGGGGAGCACGAGCCCAGGAAATAGGGGAGAATCTGGGGAATCCTGGGACTGGTGTCTACTCACTAGCGTGTGCCAGGGCCCCGTTACTCTCGGGGGCGCCGCCAAGGCGCCCCCCCCTGCATGGGAGGCCTCTCTCCTC